TTGATTTGTTGTTACTATGACATAACCTCTCCTCTCCTAACTAATACAAAGACTTTTGGTGAGAATTTTTTGATGGGACTTTGATATGCCAAGGGGAGTCATTTAACTTTTACAGTCTTGACTTACCTATTAGTAATAATTGAGGGCTGAATTAGATAATCTTTGAGGTTGCATTTGCTCAATCATGATGCAATATTGTGATACTGTGAGTCAGGGAAATCCTATGAGGAAGCTGTAGTGTCATCACAGATATGCTACATAGTTGTTTTGGGTTACAAAACAAAAACACAACCATCACCTATGGAATTGTTTTCCTAGAATCGGTCTTTGGAGTTTTTGTAGAAAGATGAGGTCACACCACATGTTTTGTTGGATAGTCAATACCTAGAACTATCCTGAGATGTTACAAAATATAACTTTTGCTTGACTGAGGGTAATGATCATGGAGATCTTATTTTTCCTGTGATAGGAGAATAATAAATACCAGTTATTGAAAAACTTTATATTTCCTGGTATTCCACATGTATTATCTCATCCCTGGAGAGAAATTCCAGTCCTTCCCTCCCTCCCTCTTTTCTTCCTTTTTATTTTCCACTCGTCCTGCCTTATTCTTTCACCTATGTACATGTCTATTATTCACCAATCTTTATTCCCTTCTTTTTGGCTGTCTTTTACCTATATTTTTCTTTCTTTTCATCCCATCCCTTCCTTCCTTTCCTCCTTCCTTCTTTCATTTCTTTCATCCTTCTTTCATCTGTCATTCCACAAGAGATAATCCTATTTTTCCAATTTTGCTAAGGAAGAAACTGAGGCTTTTAGAAAATAAAAACCTTCCCAACCAATGGCAATGATAAAATCCAATCCCAGGTTTATCTGGGTTCAAAACTCTAATAAATCTCTAAGATATTTCTGGGATCAATTGTATATGTTCTAATGGAGAAAACTTAGGAAGTATGGTGCTTCAAATTTAGGTCCATTTTCTTTTAGATATGGTGAAATTGACTTAATTTACCAAGTTCTCTCCCCACATAATATAATTTTGGATATATATACATATATATATATATTCCAATATTATTCATATTCTCTTTTAAAAAGTTTGTCAATTTCAAAAAATTTCTCCATATTTCTTTTCTCATATTTGTTGCCCACACCACTTCCAATGTAATACACATGAGTTGCAGTCTATTGCACTGTCTATAATTTTAAGCTCCTGATTCAAAATAACAAGCAAAGCAATATTAAATTAAAAAGTGTGTAGGTGTCTGCCTCTGAGGGAAAGGCATGCAATTTTGCATTTTTACTTTTTATTAGACAAAATTAAGCAACAGATAGAACTATTCCTAATCAAAATACTTCCTGTTCTTTCAAAGCTATTTTTGTATCTATTCTGACATACTCTTGATATATCTTTGCTAATGCCTTTAACCTTGACTTTTTGTTCTCTCTCTGTTGTATAACAGCTTATATTACAGATACATGACTAGATAGAATATTTTCTCTATAAAGTATCAGAAAGTAAAGGATAAAAACATTTATAAAAGGCAACCTTTACCATACTATATTATCACAACTTTATTACTCAACAAACATGAAATCACAATGGTGATCAGAGAAATAAATAGAAAAGATCAGAGGAATAAATAGAATGCAATAAAAGAAGATGGCACACAGAAATACAAAGTCAATCCAAATTTGAGGACTTAAATTCTCAAAGAGCTCAACACTCTTCCAAGAGTCTTTAGTGCTCTCTGCATAGCCACCAAGTAAGAGTACCTTTTCCTCCTAAAACCATCATTCTACTGGTTTGTTGGTGGTGTGTACTGTGGCACTCTCCCCAGCAGTCCTCCCTATTGTGTTGCTGCCTGGAGTCACACTCCTCCACAGAGGTAGCCATCCTTATCCAATCCAATGTGGGCAATGCCAACTTTTCTTGACATCCCAGTGCAGTCTGTCATCAAATGGCAAAGGAACTGACCAGCAGTAAACTTGTAATACCACTGGGGCCAATGAAATCCAAGGGCAAGTTAGTTGAGGAATTTTGGGGGAGATACTTTCTTGTCCCTCTCAGAGAATTTCAGAACCAGATATTTCTCTTTCTGGGCCCTGAAAGAGGGAACTCAAGAACTGGTGCAACTATTCTGACAAGAGAGAAGCCACCTTCCGAGGAAAGGTAATCTCATAGGAGGGTGAACAGAAACAAATCAATTCTGGATCCTGTCCTAAGATGGACCTTCTATTTATGTGAGCTAATCAAACCTATTTCTTTCCAAAGTCAGTTTGGATTGAGTTTTCTATTACTTGGAACATTTAAAGAGGTTTAACTGATGCATCATTTCTTTTGTTTTTGTTCTTTAATTTCCTATATTTCTAATAATGCATAAATATATCCATGTATAATTATGATTATACCTCAATATATCAGATGCTGTCGAAGAATCTAATTTATAGGACTTTTTATGAAAGCAACAGAGATGAATTTAGGATCTAACAGAAACCTTAAGAGATTATGTGAGAAATATAAAAAGCACACCAAGTATAGGAGAATTAATAATTTCTCCTTAATTCTAATATTTTGGGAAATATATATAACTATTCTTGTAGCTACATTATTTTTATTTATTGCTATTTCATTGTTTTAACCAACCAAACAGACAAAATATCTTAAGATTTATCTTCCAAGCCTACTTACTCCTAGTGAGCTACATGATGTGCAAGACTCTCCGATGGCATTATTTTATTAATGCATTAAGAAAAACAATGCTGTGTGCCTCTGAAGACCTTTGGCTGTCTGAGTCCTCCCTCTTCTCTCTCCAAATGCTCATCACTCATCAACATACACTCATCATCTTAATTTTTGTATGTGTGGTTTTGGTCAAGTTCTTCCCTTACCTCTCCAAGAATGGAACTCTTCCCTACATAAGCTCTACCTCAGTATTTAGCTTTCACTTTGATTATACATTACTGAGCACGTGAATTTAATGCTTCAGTTCTTCTCTGTAATTAGGTTGTTTAATCCTCAGGAGCAGGGATTGAAATTTAGAATCGCCACTCCCCAATGCTTCAAGTATATGTAATAGAGTAGATATTAAGCAAATAATTGCCTGATTAATTAACCATGCTTTATTATTTACCTTACAAAACCTGTTTCATGGATCTAGTCAAAGATTTTAAGATAAATCAAGATTGCCCTAGGGTTGCCAGATTTAGCAAATAAAAATACAGGATACCTCCTTAAATCTGAATTTCATATAAATAAATTATTTTTTCTATAAATTTATCCCATGCAATATATGACACATAAGTGAGGTATAAAATTACCTATTTTTAATCCAAAATTCAAATATAACTGGATAATCTCTGCTTTATTGGGCAATCCTAGATTGGTCTGACCTAAAAAAAAAATATGTGCTCTTATTTTTCTAAATTAGAACAAAAGACTACATGTGTGATTTGTTAAAACTTATATGATTTTGCTAATCAAGTCCTACAGTACTCTATAAAGAAAGTTCTCCGCATTGTTCTACCATTCAGTGAAAATGCATTGATTGTGAATCCATTGTGTGAAGGTCACCATGTGTGAGTGTGCACAGGGAGATGAGGTTTAGTGAGTTGATTTTCCCCACCCCAGGACTCCCTATTCTACTGGAAGAGACAGCCCATTTCAGACCAGCCTCTACTTGACATGCAATCCTGGTGAATTAATCTGTGTGGCTGACAGCTCTTTTAGGCTTGACACTATAAACTTGGAAAGATCCAAGATGACACTATAAACTTAGGTTGTCAAAAGTGAGAGATATTATTTTTTAAGTACACATTAAATAATACCTAATTTTAAAGCATTATGTAAACAACATAATTCATAATTATAATTGAAAACAATTACTCATCATTTGTCTTGATCAGCACATTGAATTTTCAGGGTTTTTTTTCAAACTTTATTTTATTAGTTCACTTTTTTTTTTTTTTAATGTGGTGCTGAGGATTGAATCCAGTGCCTCATTTGTGCTAGGCAAATGCTCTACCACAAAGCCCCAGCCCCAGCCCCGAACTCTCAGATTTTGATAATGAATGAAATTTGAGTTTCTCAGGTGAAAAAAAAATCTGATTATTAAATTACTTCATGTGTGTGTGTGTGTTTTTTTTTAAAGCATAAGCAATAGAAATGTAACATGGCATTTTTTGTCCTGTCTGCTGCATAAGTCCTTCACAGGTAAATGCCATGTTGGCTACTTAATCTAAGTGATTTATTTAGGCAGTTGTTAGGATCCACCCATTTTACCTCTCTGCTGTGGCTTTGGTTGCTCTTAGTTAATTTCTTATTCTCCATTATGGAGAGAATAGGGTAATGGGAGGCCTGGTTTTCTTCACATAGCACTGTGTCATAATGGAGGTGTGTATGTAGGCAAAGTTTGATAGCCAAAATTTTTAGCAACTATTTTTACCAGCTATATGCTACATAAATTCAGTGTTATTTTTAAAAATCAAATATTTAAAATCCAGAAACAAAAACACATTTTTTCATGACAGTGCTCTGTGTGTGTGTGTGTGTGTGTGTGTGTATGGGGAGTGGTGGGGAAGAGAGAGAAAGAGAAACCTTTCTCAGACTTAAAAATATAGCTCAAGGTTTTAAAACAACATTGCTTTAATGTAAACATACCAATTTTCAGTTCTAGAATAGAATATGTAGTTTCTTTTCTTTTCTAAACAAGCCGTTGATCTCAACCCTTTGATCTGTATTTTAAAGAGCACTTTGAAATAAGAAGGTGTGACCCATAAAATGATGACTTTTGTGTAGTTCAGTTTATTATTAATTCATCACCTGAAATTACACAGAGTGGTATTAAAATGTAACAAGAATATGGGGGGAAATTAAATCAGTCCCCAACATTTGTTAATTACCCAGACAGAACGCTACAGTTAACACTGTCATTATGCTAAATCCTTCAAAATTATGAAATTCTCATTTACAATCTATGTTTTATGTTGTCAAAAATTACCTTGGGTAGCTCTTCAATTTGATTGGCATCTAGATAAAGCTCCTCTAATGTCCGCTCAAAGTTAAAGACCTCCTTTGGCACCTGCTGAAGGCTGCAGTGGGAGTAATCTAAAACTGAGATGATTTCTTCTTCACCTCGGAAACATCGGCACGGCACCAGACGGCCGATGATTTTCCGTTTGGTGGTCATCTCCAGGCACTGCACTAGAAAGAAACAGAAAAAATAAACAAACTGCTTAATCAACTGCTTTTCAAGGGCTTTCTTAGAGCTTATTTAGGACTCTTTTGGGCACGTATTTTGTAATTATATCATACTTTACATTTTATATAGGACATGCACATGCAATTTACTACAAAAAAAATGAGAAAAGAAATCTCTGAAATTAGAAAAGACACTTCTCTCATTTCTACAAAAACATTCAAGTTTCACCCAGGGTCTTCTTTTTTGATCCACAGATTTATTCCATCTGTGAACAGGTTTTTACTGAATAAACTAGACATTGGAAATACGTGATGAGTTGAACAGTTTGTTTTTGTGCAGTATGTGATCAATTAGATTACAGATTAGACATGGAACTCCTTATTTACTTCAGAATGTTAGCCTGTCTTTAGGAATCCTGTGATTTGAGTGGGAGAAAAGAGCCTGCAATCGTGGTACACATTCATGTGACATCTTGGGCATGTCCTTTTCCTATTCCTCTAGATTACCATGGCCAAATGCCATGAATTTGGCACAGACTTGTGTCATGGATCCTTCAATATTTACTCTATTGCTTTTCAGGTCATTTTCTTCTAGACTTTAAGCTCTTAAGGGCTGGGACTGTTCGGTTCATCTTTGTGTTTGTCACAGTGCCTGACATATAGTTGACATTCACTAACGACTGTAGAATAAACAAATGAATGTGCTGGTGAATAAATTAATGTATCTGGGACTCTCAGGATCACATCAGCTACTGATAATTTTCTTGAGACTTCTCATTCTAACTCAAAGATCGTGATCTCTGTGATTGTGTCCCCAGGAAGAATAGGCACATAGCTCCTGACTGTGCATGCCGTTTCTCCATGGAGTAGATGGTGTCTTTAAGGAGATCTTGTCTTACTTATTTTTCAATTCACAGTACACAGCACTTGGCCAACTATAGAATCAGCATTGAATGAACATTAATCTGAAATTTGCATTCAATTTGTAAATTTATTTTTAATTAGAATACAAATTTATTTTTAATTAGAAAATAAATTTAACGCTGAACTAGAAATTAGTGACATCTTATAAATATGAAATAAAAACTATATAGCATTTTGCTTTTGAAATTGCTTAGCTAAAGTCAAATTTTGAGGCAACCAGGTAGAGTATACTTAAAAGCTATAGAAGATTCAGTTCAAAGTCATCCTTATTCCTCTTTAACTTCTGACATTAATGAAAAGATAATGTGGGAACAGGTTTATGGGTGAGCACTTATAGATGGCTGTTTACACATGGTGATTATAGAAAGTTTACTAAAAACATATAAAAGATGAATTTTTCATTAATTTGCCTGAAACTCCTACACTTCGAGATTTTACACTTTTAATATTTTATATTTTTATTGTTAATTTTATATGTACTTTACATTTTTATTTTTTAAATTAGTTTGTAATAATTATATATAATCCTGAGGTTCATTTTGACATAATCATATAAACACAGAATATAATTTGCTGTTTTACTCCCCAGTATTTCCTCTTTCCCTCCTTTTCTCCCTCTCCCCTTCCCTTTCCTCTACTCTACTGATCTTTCTTTTATTTATTTATATTTTTTTAAAAAAATTAGTTCATTATGGATATACATGAAGGTGAAATTTAATATGGTGTATTCATATATGTGCATAGAAAACTTTGGTCAGATTGATTCTCTATCCCTCCTCCCTCTTTCTCAATTCCCTTTCTCTGCTCCACTGATTTCTCCTAAAGCATAAGAATCAATAAGTAGGACAGCATCAAATGTAAAAGTTTCTGCTCAGCAAAGAAAACCATTAAGAGCATGAAGAAAGAGACTACAGACTAGAAGATCTTTGCCAACCACTGCTCAGATAGGGGACTAGTTATCCAGAATATATCAAAATACAAAACACCAAAACCCAAATAACCCAATTAATAAATGGACAAAACAACTAAGCAAACAGTTTTCAAAAGAAGACATAAAAATGACCAAATAAATATATTAAAAAATGTTCCATATCTCTAGCTATCAGGGAAATCCAAATCAAAACTATATTGAGCTTTCATCTCACACCAGTAAAAACTGCAAATATCAGGAATACAAATACTAAACGTTGGCAAGGACATGGGAGAAAAAGGTCTACTCATACAGTGTTGATGGCACTGTAAAGTTGTACCACCACTCTGGAAAGCATTATAGAGATTCCTCAAAAAAACTAGGATTGAAACCACCATTCTACCCAGCTGTCCCACTTCTTGGTATATATTCAAAAGATCTAAAATCAACACATGATAGGGGTACAGCCACATTGATGGTTATAGCAGGGAAATTCACAATAGCCAAGTTATAGGACCAGCCCAAGTACCTGTAAACAGATGAAAGAATTACGAAAATGTGATATATACACACAATGGAGTTCTACTTATCCACAAAGAAGAATACAATTATGGCATTTGTTGATACATAGCTTGTAATTGTATAATACTTTGCAGTTTATATAGGACATGCTAAATGAAATAAGCCAGACCCAAGAAGTCAAGGGTCAAATGTTTTCTTTCAAACAATGGAAGTTAGACCAAAATAAGGAAAAAGAAAAAAGAAAAGCAGTGGGCATTTGGGGGGAGGGGAATCCCATGAAAATATAGTTTATATTTTAAGAGTCTAAATCACAAGATTTTGTAATTATTATTTTATCTGGCCTTGTTTGATGCCTTCATGTCCCTACTTGGAGTCTAGCACATATAAGACATCCTAATGGTGCCTTAATAATTATATGAGATCTGTTAGATACCTAGTAGATGTATTTTGGAGTTTTTATTTTGTAAAGGTAAGTGATGATAGCTTAGACGATTTTAGTTATGAGAATGAGGAGAAGTGATTTTTGGGAAGGTAATTAAGAAATCAAACCCACAGACTTGTGATGGAATAGAAGGGTGGTAGAGGCAGGGAGAAGTGGAGCAGAGGAATCTATTTTAGAAGATTCCCAGGTTTTTAATTTTTTTCAATTTGAGTGAGTGCTAGCCATTCTCTCTGTCCCCAGCAGTGATGCCCTAGAACAGACCCAGGGAGCACACCTTGTCTACCTATGTGACTTAGAGCTGACTGACAAATCAACCATTCATGCTTTTTGTTGTTCAAAGCCTCATTCCATCTTTTGTGCTGCACCATTGGCTTTTTTTTTCTTCAGTGTATTTTAATTATACAGAATAACAGGTTTCATTTTGGCATAATTGTACATGCAAATAACAAACTTTTCTCGAGATTTATTTGTTGCTGTCGCTATATATTTTTTAAAACACAAACCAAGTGGAATAAAGAGTACCCAGACCTGCCCCTGAACCATTGGGTCAATGCCCAGGGTCCACCAAACCTTTTGAAACTTAATTCACTTAGCCTACTTTCACTTTCGTCCCAGAATGTAAGCTCTTATAGTCATCTTCTCTCCCCACAATGTGCTGAACTATTCCCCCTATCCCAACTCTTCTGTCTCTTTCCTCTGAACTCAGAGTTTCCTTTACATCATCAGCTACATCTTCACTGAGCCTCAACCCTCTCAAGGAATACTTCCCCTCCCTCTCCTCGTTGACTCAACTATAACTTGGTTTTCCCTAGGGTCAACATTCAATCTTACAGCCTTTAAAAGTAGAGCATGATGATTTTATCACGCCACACACTAATCCACTGCTGAGTTAGAAGGATGGATTACTCTCCACCCTGCCCTCTAAAAACTATTGGTCTTCTCTCATCCTGTAAAACCCGTTCCTTTGACAGCTTCTTTATAGTAACATCTGTCTACTCTTTCATATACCATTTATTTATCAATTTCTTGAACACTCCTTTTCATTGATTGATGACTTTGTCATCTCATGCACAAAATATGTCTCCATTAAAATTCCATTCATTCCCAATTTATGTTCTCTATCCACACAAAATAACTTTCAATGTTTTAGGGCTCCCACCCCCTATAAATTTCTAAATAACTTGACTGTAAGTGCTAATTCTTGATTTTTAAATTACAGGTTTCTCATATCACAAGGTAGGGAGATTCTACCTTTCTTCAAGTAAATTCTGATATACTTCTTTCTACCCAAGCAAAATACATGTATAACAATTATGTTTTAAATTAATAGTACCTACTTAGTTATATACCAGTGTAATTAGACCACATTATATTTCTTGGGTATCTTTTTCATTCCTTAGAGTTTAAAAAGTGCTTTATTGTTTTCTTGCTTGGTTCTTCTATGTACATATTTCTAATTCAGTTTCCTGAGTCTCTCCCCGCGATACAGCCAAACACATGTAATAACCATCCCCAACTCCTACCAATCCTTTGGGAACCCCAAGTCTTCCTACTCCTGTCTGGAGTGGTTGCTTTTCCAGACTATATATACAGCTGTCACCCAAACATTCTCTTCATTATCATTCCTTGAATCTTGCACTTTTTCCCTGTGTTATGCCTTCTATTTTCTGGATTCGTATCTTTTTCTTCTCAGATTTATTCCTTCAGTTTGGCAGAATACAACATCCATTTACTTGCTGAGAAAGGATTTATAGTAGGCACATTTTTGAGGCCTTGCTCCATTGAAAATAGCTTTATTTTATCAGAGAATGATTGAAAGGTTAGCTGGATATAGACTTTTGGGTCGGAAATACTTCTTCACTAATTTGAAGGCAATTTTTATTATGTTTTCTAGCTTCTAAGAAAACTCAGTTCCATTTGATTCAAAATCCTGTTTCACACCCAATTTCCCTTCTACCAGGAATTTTTGGAATTTTATTCCATCCTCAGTGTTGAGAATTTCTGACAAGGAGGTTTGGCGTGGTTTTCTTGTTTTTGTTTTTTAAATCTATTGTCCTCATTACTTAAAAGGCTCTTTCACACCGAAAGCACTTACTGCAATTGTGTTATTATTTAATTAATAATTATTTAATTCACATTTGTTCTGTTATTATTTAATTCATAATTTCTTACTGTTTATCAAAAATTCTCTTCTATAATTGCTAT